TCCTCCTCCATGTCCACCACTTCAAGGACTCAACTATGGCAGCAGCCGGTCTAAGGACAAGCAGTCCACAATGGAGCATTGTCCTGGCAGCAAATGCCTAAGCTTCCATCATCTGAATGCCTTCATGCATGCATACACGACAGTTCGACCGTTGATTTCGACGATGTCCACCGTGAGTCCCACAGCTGCAGCAGCGGTGGGAGCAGGGACGGTGACTTGCGCTGGGGTTTATTGTGCGGGTAGACTTGCGCTGCATCTACCTACACTCTCTCCTCCTCCCCCGCCTGGGTCCGGTGTCAAGACAGAGTCAAGAAGACCGGAGACGTGGGAGGCCGCAGGTGGATGGCTCGGACGGATCCTCACCTTGGCGTTCCGCCACACCCCCTGGTCCACACAACAATAACCAGGATTTCAACCAACATAACTGTGATTAGGAGGCTGGCACGGCCGAAGCCGCACCTAGGCGTGCCGCCAACGCCTGGCTCGGATCCCACACTGTGGTAGGAGTGCCATAAAGGCCACATTAAAAAGGAGCCATTGCAGCCTGACTCTCAGACCGCCTCCCTTGAAAGAGGAGGTCCAAGTTACCCCGTCAGTTGACAACCTTCCAAGCCACGGCTTTTAGCGCACTGTGATAGCTTCAAGCGCGTCAGATTGTTTATAGTGAGGAAAATGCGCTGAGTCGTCGACCTCACTCTCCCTTCCCACTCCCACACCCCAGCCGCTGTCCGAGCCGGTCAGCAGACTGGAGTGGGGAGTGGGCGCGGTGGCTGACATGGTCGACTGACCATGCCTGCGCGCGCCACAGCACGACCTGGCCCCCCATACACACACAAACACCAGGATTTCACACAACGGGGGTTGAACGGCGTGTCCCTCACTTGCGTGAGAGTGCCGTGGACGGTGCTGTTGCAGCCCGTCCCCAGCCCACCAGTCCGCCACTACACACACAACACACACACAACGTGACGAACTGCGTTAACCGAGAGCGGGCCTCAATCAGCAACCTTCCTATCCACGACACTTGACGTGTCGGGAAAGTCTCGGACACAAGTCACCCGTGCAGCCGAAGCCGCATGGGGACCGAGTCGAGATGCACACTTCCCACTTGCGTGGGAGGCGGCAGTTGAGTGCATGAGGTGTGTGAGTGTTGATGTCTGGTGGGGTGATGGTGCTAGGAGGTAGGGGGTGAGGGAATGTGTGGTGTGACCGGCGGTTGTCTACCGCAGGTCGTCGTGGATGCGCATGTGGCCGAATAGACCCATGCGATGCGTGAAGGTGCGAGTGCAGTGTGGGCAGTAGAGGAGAGTGCGGTGAGTGTAGGTTGGTGCTCCAGGCACTGGTTCGCCAGTCTTTGTGCGATGGATTTGTAAGTGACCGACCAGGCCGATGCGAGAGGTTAAGGTGCGGTCGCAGTGAGGGCAGGTGCAGTCCTGATCCTCATCACTGGGATCGGGAGAGGTGCGGGTGGTGGCGGTTGTTGTGTTGGGGTTGGTGATGCGAGAGACGGCAGTCTGAACGGCCGCCGCTGGGGCAGTGGAGAGGGAGGAGGAGGAGGACGACGAGGAGGAGGAGGAGGATGGAAGTGGTGGTTCAGAAGAGTTATGAGAGTTAGTTGGTGGTAGAGAGGACGAGGAAGGGGCGGGCGGGGGGACGAGGGCTGGAGCAGTTCGAGAGGTGCAGTTGATCCGAAGATGTCCAACAAGTCCGACTCGTGCCCGGAATTTCCGTTGACATCGAGGACACGTAGGGAGCGGTTGTGCGGCGGCGTTGGGTATTGAGCGAAGTTGTGATTTGCGGGCTTCGCGTTTCGCTTTGGCGATGGCGATTCGGTTGGCTTCATAGATAGCAGCGCCCGTCTTCACTGTTCTCCTCCATGTCGGACGATCGCGGGTGAGATCTTCCCAGTTGGTCGGGTTGATTTGCAGGCGCTTCAGGGAGGACTTCAGAGTATCTTTGTAACGGCGAATTTGGCCTTCTTGACGACGAGAACCCGTCGCGACGTCTCCGTAGAAGAGTCGTTTGGGTAGTCGCTCGTCGTCCATGCGCACCAGGTGGCCGCTCCAGCGCAGCTGCATTTGTCTCAACATGGCGTAGATGCTGAGCATTCCCGTTCGCTCCAGTACTTCCGTGTCGGGGATTCGATCCTGCCAGTTCAGCTTCAGGATGCGACGGAGACAACTGAGGTGGAAGTGGTTCAGTCGGCGTGCCTGTCTCGTGTACACCGTCCATGTCTCTGCTCCGTACAGTAACGTCGGCAGGATGACGGCCTTGTACATCTTCAGCTTTGTGCTCAATTGGAGACCGTGGCGATTCCAGACTGTGCTTCGCAGGCGTCCAAAGGCTTAACTGGCTTTCGAGATCCTGTTGGCGACTTCGTCATCAATCTTGGTGCTGCGTGAGAGGGTACTGCCCAGGTACGGGAAGTTCTCCACCACTTCCAGTTGGGTCCCATTCACGTTGATGTGCGGCGCGTTGGGGGCTGTGGTTGAGTTGGGCGGCGGTTGGTGCATCACCACCGTCTTCTGCGTGTTAATGACCAGACCGAAGTTCTCGCAGGCGGCGGAGAATAGGTCCATGCTCCGTTGCATCTCCTCTTCCGAGGTGGTGTTCAGGGCGCAGTCGTCGGCGAAGAGGAGTTCGTGCACGGTGGTTGTGGATACGCGCGATTGAAAGTGCATTCGCCGTTGATTCAGGAGATGACCGACCGTTCTGTAGGCGATGCGGATCCCGGGGCGTTCGTCGCGGTAGGCGTCCATCAGCATGGCGGAGAACATAAGACTGAAGAGGGTAGGCGCCAGCACTCATCCCTGCTTCACTCCGTTGGTCACTGCGAATGCCTCTGAGACAGCTCCGTTGTCCGTGACTCGCGCCATCATACCGTCGTGCAGCTGACGCACCATCTGAGTGAATCGCTCCGGACAGCCGAATTTCTGCATGATCTTCC